CCTTTTACTTGCTATGTGCTTTTAGAGTGTATCTCTACAGGAACGCATATACCAGTTTACGAGTTTGAGTATCGGGCCCGAGGGCACCAGAATCAGTATTGTTGAGAATCAGTTATCAGGAATCAGTTATCCATGGGTATCAGATTCAGTATTTTGGGAGCAGAAATCTGGGAACAGTGATCAGCAGTAGGGTACAGTTGTTTGGCTACGCCCGTGTTTGATTAGTTTGGGCTGACTTCACTGGGGCTGGGTTTGGACTTCCCTTGGCTCACCTACAAATACATGAATGAGCGTGAGCGATAGCCCAGTGAATAATATCAAATATAACAGTTACATAACAATATGTAGATCAACATGCTCCAAACGGCCTTGGGCTCAATTCATACTTCTGTTTAACAGCAAAATATATATAACTATACGAAATGCAAGTCAAGTAACTGTAGTTCCAAACATTCTGGCCTTTGGCCCATTCATTCATGTCAAACTTTTGTCCACAATCCCAATTAACAACTCATAATATTTATAGGGGAATAACAATTGGACATTGACAAGTTTTCAAATATTGATATTACTCACAGTGATCGGCTTGTGGATGCGCCCTGGAGCTTGACCCTAAGAGCTTCAATACTCAAGCTCTAGCCAAATCTTGAGCTAGATCTTCGAATTCCCAAGTCTTGAGCCCAAATTACACAAATCTCTCCCTTTTTCTCTCCATGGCCGGCCTCTCTCTCCCTCTCAATTGTCTAACTCAGATTTTGAGTTTTAAGAGAGCTAAAGGGGAGTGCAATGCAAATATACAACAAGCCCCACTAACAAATATTTTAATATAAAATAATGGGGTGCTTAATTTATCAATTTAATCAGTTTAAATTGGCCAGAATTAAATTTCAATTAAATTTCACCGTAGGCCCTAAAAATTATGCCAACCACAATGGCGTAGTCAATTTCGGGTTCCGTGGCCGATAAGGCCCTCAATTAAATTTCCAAAACAGACTACTCAAACAGATATTCCTACGATGAACAGATAAAATTTCAAACCACATATTTTCACATAGTGGAACACAAAATCATATCAAAATACATAATCACATCATGTTAAGGACCAATTAACATACTACGGAACAGGGGTGTCACACCTTGCCAGCTGCATTTTCAAGAGAGGGGGAAGAAAAAAAAAAAAAAGGAGCCTCAAAGATACAAAGAAGGAAATTACAGAGAAAAGAATGCCAAAAAGGTATGCATACAACATAAAAGAAAAATAAAGTTTTAGTTTCCTGCCTCTTTTCTTTGGAAGGAGCCTTGTTTGCAAGTCTAGCTGTTTGTACAGCAGCATCTGCAAATGCAGCTTCAGGAGTTGCCTGCAGAATCTCACATATAAGCTGTTGGCATTCACTCTATTATACAAAATTAGAAAAATATAGACTCAATGAGAACTAAATCTATGAACCAATATTTTTAATTAAATGGACAATGTTGAAATTCAGAAAATGAAAATTTTTCAATTGGTCGCTAGATTAGCACCAGAAAGCTAATGACAAATACAATGGCAGACACTACCTGCAAAACTGTCAATGAAAAGCCAATACTGTAGCCTCCAGTATCATGAGATGCATCAGAATCAGGGTTCCAATTTATCTCTACCATTGACTTTGGTGTGTTCATGTCACTTTGTTGTGAGGATTTTGATTCTAGAAGCTCTCCAACAATAACATGTTTCTCTGAACATTTATATGGTCAAACTTAAATTCAACAAAAGGGAAAAGAATACCCAAAACTAAAGGGAAAAGAATACCCGAATATCCGAACAACAGCATCCAAAATCGAATTAAGAAGTTCCTTTGCTACAGCCTGTGCTGTTCCAATGGGAGCCATCACAGGTGAGACAGGGCTGACAGCTAATAGCGTTCCAGCCAATGATATTCCATTCTGTCGCTCTCCAAATAGTAGCTCTGTGAGACACTCATATTCTGTCGCTCTCCAATAGCGTTCCAGCATCCAATGATATTCCAGCCAATTGGCAACTGGTAGCTCTCCAAATGCCCTTTCAAATAATGCGGCCTGACCAATGCTAGCCCTTCAACAACTAAAGTGCTCTGCATAACCTTTGATCTTGCCAGTGATAATGTCGTGAATTATGGGACGCAATCTTTGGTTGTTACAAAGGAAAATCAAGGACATAAAAAGATCATCCTGAAATACAAATCAGATACAAACTTATATTAAGAACACTATAAAAAATACATGTGAGACACTCATATATAACTCAAGTGTCATAACAAGAAGGTAGTAGGGAGAGCTGATATTACCTTACCCACGCACACCTGTGCAGACTAGTGTGCTGACAGATTCGAAATATGGGCATAACATGGTATATCAGAACAATGCATAAATTCAGGAATGAAGCAAAAGAGCATCATAGTTAGAGGTGGCTCAACCAATAGGCTATTTAGACTTTCGCCTAAGGCTCAATATGGAAAAAATTCTTTTTGTCGAATGCCTCAACTCTTCGAACGTCCAGAAGATAAAGGTCTCATTTAAACGTTTTGCCTCAATTCTTAATAAATAAAAATAAAAAACTGCGGCTGCTGGTGAGTTCATTGGGATTATTTGAAAAGGAAGCTATATTTATTATTTAGGGCAAAAAAGTGAACTTTGAAGAGTACAAGTGGGGGTGCATTGTCATTGTCCATTATTGTTCGGAATAATTCAAGATTTTAACAACTAACTTGCGCATTATTCAGGGGAGCAATAATTCAGAAATCATAAAATCAAGATTCCTTACTTTGATGAAGAATCAAGAAAAGTTCCACACATTTGATTTGAGGGAAACTCCAAACATAATGAAAAGAATGTTAACTGAACAATCAAAAGAGATCCATACCCAAAAGTGATTTCACTTTATTGCTCTGCAAATGCCCAACAAAATGCCACTCAATGTCTTCATGAAACTGCAAAATGTTCAACAATTTCAATATCAAGCATCTTCTTACTCCACACAATCTCAATTCCAAAACAAACTTCTAGAGAGAGAGAGAGAGAGAACCTGAGGTGCTTTTTCGATGATCTCTTGGACATAGTTCTCGTCGAAACAGCGATGACCAGAGTCGAAGACTTGGCGGATGAGAGAGATGGGCTTGGTTTTGCTCACTGCAACCACCCTCACATCATCGGCTATGCGGCCTGATCTCTCAGCAGCCTGGCGGACTCGGTGGAGCACCGCTCGCAGAGCCGTCGAGGCCGCACCCTCCACGGCGGTAGCAGCCATCATCACCATTCTTTTGATTTCTCTATCTTTTCTGGTGGTTCGGAGTCACTCTCCGATAAATCTATCAACAACAATCATACATCTCACTAAATCGATCACAAATGTGGAATCTCCTTCACCCGATAGAGAGAGAGAGTTCGAGAGCAGCGCCAAAGCATCGAACAGGGAAAAAGAAATCGAAACAGAGGGAGAGTGGAGAGATAGAAATCGAGGAAATCTTACCTTGCAAGCCGAGCGATGAGGGAGGGTAGTAAGGGGAGGAGTGAGCAGCGTCAGTATGAAGAGGGAAGAAGAAGATCAGAGAGGGCGAGAGAGGTAAAGAGGAAATAGGGAGAAGACGTGGCTGAGAACAGAGTGGGAGAGAGAGAGAGAGAGACGTGGGTAGGTGGAAGGCTGAGGGAGAGATGTTTAAGCGGGAATCACATTGTCCTTTATTATGATCTGTACCATTAATATATTCTTAGAACTAATCTTGGCCATTGAATCAAAATATATCTCACATACATTTTGATACATTTTTCAAAAACCCTTGTGTCATATTATATAGATTTCAAAAATATTTTTGGGTGGTCCCACGAAGACATGCCTAAAATCGTTCATGAGATTGTACAACATAGGATCACTTTCGGCCCAAAGACTCGACCCCTTTGCTTTCAAACCTTGATTCAGAATGCTTAACAGTCAACCAAAATATAAGGCTTGCACGGCCGAATTGGAAGCAACTCTTGAACTAAAAGCAATAAGGTCGGATGTGATTGAAAGAAGCTTGCATAGCTGGATAAGGAGCAGCCCTTGAACTGGGGGAAAAAAGGTCAGATGTGCTCGAAGATTCAAAACTAGGTCATTTCTCAAGCCAATAGAGATCGACAAGAAAGCCAAATCCCAGAATCTGAGAGAAGAAAATTTATTGCTGAAGGACAATCAAGTTCCTATCCATGACACTAGGGGAAAATTCAGACCCAATTGGATGGGCCCTTACATCATTAAGACTATTTGATTAGGAACAATAGCCATTCTCGTGGATTTAGATGGCTTAGAGATCTCACAACCGATCAATATGGACAAGTTAAACTTTTCTATCCTTGAGAGGCTCGCTAGGCCGAAAACCCGAAAGGGTGACCCAGGCAAAAGTTAGAGCAAGAAATAAAAAGAAATAAAAAACAAAAAAAGAAGAAGAAAGAAAAATTAAAAGAAAAATAGAGCTCGCAAGGTTGAAAACCTGGAAGGGTGGCTCTGGCAAAAGTTAGAGCGCAAAAAGAGAGAGAGTTAATACCCGAGTGTACCTTAACACTGGAACTACGTAAGGCCTGATTTCCATCTTTAGGATACATAGGCAACTTCATCCTGAATTTCGGCCCTAACCATTTTTAGTCTGCTTGTCTCCTCCATGTTGATTGGCTTATCCTTATTCAACTCGACTATCCTATCCATGTCCAATTGGCTCATCTTTGTTCAAATTCGGTTGTCCTATTCCAATAAAAGATTTAGCTACAAGACAAATCAAGTTCAGATCTGAGGTTGGGCATCTTGAGAATTAATTCTACGTTGGTCAGGTGGTGACCATTTGCAAAAACAGTTTTTGAGGACTTTTAGTGAAGTTGACTAATTTTCTTAGAAATTATTCAATTTTTTCCAAAATCGGACCTTTTTGTAAACCCAAAAACAAAAATTTTCAGTGCTCACAACTTGACTTACATGATTTCAAAACAGAAAGTAGAACAACCATGTTAATCTAAGCTATCATGTTGGTCCAAATTGTTTTAGCAGAAAGCCAAAACCAAATATATATATGTATGGTCAAAGTGATGAACTAGGGGCATAATCGAGTCAGGTTTTCTGTCTTTTCCCCATTGTTAGCACACTTGCCAGAAAGGGCACAATTGAAGCTAACAGCAGAGGCCAAAAGCTCTCTCATCCTTCAAGTAGTGAGATATTGAGCCAAGTTTGAAGCACAGATTGAAATGAGCCCAAATACTCTCAGCAGGGTGTGGACACCCCATTTTTGACCATCCGCAAGGCTCGAGCGCTTTGTTCGGTACACTCAATGATGAAAGTGATATTATGCATGGTTCGAGGTCTCAACGAAGGAGCTTTGTTTAAGCTTCGAAACAGCCCCAAACCTCCCATATTCCCATTGATTATACCCAAGAAATTCTCTTTTACACCTTGTGCCACCCTATGTTGAGGCTGAAATAGAAAAACATGGGAATGCATTGAGGCCCGGCCGTGCCTCAGTGAGGGCCGACTGGGCCTTGGTAGCAAGAAACACTGTTCTGGGCGGGAGGCCGCCAACTGTCCATTTTTGAAGATATTTATGATATTTCTGGCTCAAATTCTATAAAAACGACCATATACCTCTGTTTTGAGGGTGGAAGAATTTAAAGAAAGCCTATATATCACATTGAGAGCTCCTTCTCCTCCTTCTTCTTGTGCAAGCAACACTTTGAGTTAACCTACCACCTTGAACCTATATTCATACACCATACACACCTTCATACCTTGGTCTGGGAACCTTGGTTGAACCTTGAACACTGTAATTTAAGCTTGAGAGTGTGTTGGAGCTTAGTTTGATCACAAACAAAAAGCTTACTCCCTTAAGAGGTATAAGCTTGCTATCTTCTCTCTTGCTTTCATTTCTTTCATTTGCTACGTAATTCTTATTGTTTTGTGTTGTTTTGATCCTATTTTAAGTGTTTAAATTTGGGGTTTGAAGAGCTACCAAAAGGGTAGAGAGAGTTTGCTCTTTCTACACCTTTACCTATAGCTCAAACCCTTACTTTTACACTCTTTTTCTTTGTTCTCTACATTGATTTTTAGAGTTTTAAAAAGGCTAAAAACCATGTTTTGAGGTTTCAAAAGTGGAGGCGTTAGCCACCTCTCCTTGTTCTTGTTTACTAGCCATGTTTCCTCTCTTTGTTGTTTAGCTTTTTAGGTTCTTTTCATGCATTTTTAGCCACTATTTTTCATCACTAGAAGGCTATTTTAGGGCTGTTCTAAGTTGTTTAAATAGTTCATGCATTGATTAGCTTGGTTGTTGTTTCATAAGCTTGCATACATAGCTTGTAATATATTGTTCTAAGCTTTTCTTCAATTCATTTCCATGTTTAAGAACCTCATTTTAATAATCAACTTACCATTCATCTCTTTCATTTGAGAGTTGTTTCAATCGATTGACAGTTATTCAAAACGTGAACTAGAGATTTATGCTTAATGGCTTAATCTCTATGGAGGTTCATTGCCAATGGTGTAATTTCTCTCTCACATTGAGAATCACCTCCCGATTGACATATTTCTCACTTAGTGGACGTAACAATCATCTTGGACTTAATGGATTAAAGGATGGCAAAGACTAATGAATTTGGCTTAAAATGAACCAACTCATATAAAGAAAATGAGTTATCTAATTTGGGGTTTGGCTGGACGTTATGTTGAATCCGTTGTGTCAAGAATTGTCACATCAATTCATGATGTTTTGATGGATCTTGAAGCATCTCTACCTCCCTCTTTGAGTTCACTCCACGATAGGAGGGAGGGGTGGTTGTTGTTCATTTCATTTATTGATTTTTTGTCCAAATTGTGCATCGAAATCATCAAGCAATCAACTTGCTCATTGATGATTTTGGAAACAATTCTAACCTTCTCTAGAGGCTTTCCCATGACAGAGAAGTGTAAGAGGGACAAACAGAGTCCAAAACACTCTGTCTGCACTGTTTTCATTTCAGAACACAAAATAGAATTTGGCATGAAATTGAGGCATGATCGGCCTTCTTTAGGCCTGGTCGGGCTTTATTGAGGGCCAGATGGTCCTCAATGTTTGGTCAGCAATGTATTTTTGCAGAAAATAGAAAGCAGTGACTGAAGGTGAAACAGAATGCTCTAAGCAGATAGTGCTGTTCTTGGATGCTGCACATGCGAACATTATGCATCCTTATGCATCCTTGTTTGATGATTAAATTATTAGTTATTATTGTTGTAATTAATTATCATTATTGTAATTAATTATTGTTATTATAATTAACCTTGTTTATTTGTAATTGTTGTAGTTAATTAGCTTAAATAGCTAGTTTATTTCTCATTATTACCCTTGTTATAATAGCATAGTTAGCTAGTTAATGCTTTAATGATTTCATTCGGTTTTGTAATAAGTAGTTTAATTCAGACTTTCGGACTTTGATTCGCACCCTCTTGCACGAGGGAAATGTTGTAATAAGTTGTATGTCTTCCAACCCCACGTCTTTCTTCCTTTTACTTATTTGCTTATGATGGTTAGTTTAGAAACATCACGTGTTTTTAGCATACTCCATGTTTCACATCCATTTGTCTTACATGCATCCAAAGTTCGGCTCATCACGCTAACCCAATATCAATGTTCAAATTCATTGCTTGAATACGTGATTCATCACATGTCTTGAATGGAACCATATGCCATGCTCATAGCTGAGCCTATAAATTACATAATGTGTGCATTGCATTTAGTCATATTGCATTAATTAGGAACATGCATATTTTTCTAATTATTTTGCTTTGTTTTGGCTTGGAGTACTAGGTGAGCGATATTGAGTTTTAGCATCTTGCATCGAATGTTTGTGTTGCCATGCCAAGCATATTTCCATGAGGCTAATTGCTTAAATGATATAACTATTTGAATGCCTGTGGATGAAGGCTAGTTGCTTGAATTGGGATAGTTTGATTAATGTCCATTTTAAGCCCACTTTTTCAAGTGGCAAATTCACAAAACAGTTTCAAATAAAACACAAAATCAAATGTTCCAAATCTTGCAAATTAGTCTATATTTGTGTGTGCGTTACATAGTAAAATAGCATAATAAATCGGAACAAGAGCATATAATGTAAATAAAAATCACATCATGATTAGTAGAGGTCTATCTTTAATCGGGCAAGTGGGGTGCTCAATTCATAACCTTCCCCTCTCATACCTCAGTTCCTGAGCTGAGACACTTTGGTGATGATGGACAAATGGCCTTTAGCACGAGTCTCGGGTTTCTTAAATTTTTCAAAAATATTTAGGTGGCGACTCTGTAATCTGGCAAAGCAATCCATTTTTGGTATTTG